TGCAGGCTCAAAGGCTGCTGGAAGAGAAGGACTGACACGATGGAGTGACAAACACACGTATCAGAGAAAAGAAAAATGGCTGCCTTAAATAGAACCTCAGTCTTTGTAAAAAAAAATAAATAAAAAAAAAAACACGATTATAGAGGGAAGTAGAAGGTTTCTGGATAGGGATGACTGACCTATAAAAGACCTGTAAGTATCATATCCACCATGATTTGAACACTTTCAAGTCTTGAATTCGGCATTGTGGCCGTCCTCTTTGAGGGTTTTTCAGAGCCAGATGTGACCGGATTGGGACAGAAGGATGGAGGTGGGGGTGGAGTGAATGTTGTGAAGTTTTCTTATTTATAAAATCTATATGAAGTCAGATAATTTGATACCTAACGATGCAGTTAATAACCTTGTCGTGGTAGCTAATCTGATTTGTTTTAAAATGATACTAAGACGGGCTGTCAGCGATAACGCGTTTATGAAGATGCATTCATTTGTTTGCACTCTACACGGTTGAGTTGTGGGGGCCAAGAGGGGCCATGTGGTAGGAGGTATCAGTGTGGTCACTACCTGGATCTGGGTCTGTTGAAAGTGGCAAAGCTGTTTGGGCTGTGATGGCCATGTGGTAAAGAAGCTCTGTGTGAGGGTATGGTGGGCACCGGGCAGTCAGAACTAGAATTGAAGGGGGTTCTGGGGTCAACTGTCCAGCCTTCTTGAGGTGTCTTTGGACTAGTTGGGTGAAACCCAGCTGAATGGAGGGATGTTGCTGCCCATCGGTCTACATGGTTGAGTTGTGGGCGCCAAGATGAAGGTATCGGTGTTATCACTACCTGGAGCTTTCATGTATGGAGTCTGAGTCTGTTGGAGGTGGCAATGCTGTTTTTGTTGCGGTGGTGACTAACGGCCTTAGGGTAGGTAATGTAACTTATCAGTAGGTTAACTGGAGCGAGGGGTGTCTTCACTGAACAATTGGCCTTCCATTAGGGCATGAGTGTCTTGTGTTTATTTCAAATCGCTCGCAGTTCTGTCTAGGGGTCGACCAATATTGATTATTCATGGCAATGCCGATATGATTATTAGTAGTTCACCAGAGCAGTACCCGAGATTTGGAGTCGATATGCTTACATGTATAATCTGTTTTTTGTGCCGCTAACAGCAGTTTGATGTTCAGCAGAGTCACTTCGGCTGAAGTCTTTGGAAGATATTTTCTGTGCTGAACAGACAAGTTGAAGCGGTTTTTCTATCAAAGCTTATGAGAGAATGTTTGTGACTTTACTGAAATCATCATAATGACTGTAAATCAATATGACTTGAAAGACTCCATTTATCCATTTGGACAGTATTTGTCAAAAGAATCATTTTATAAACAACTCATCAGCGAGCAAGCGACGGACACAGAGATGATGTTTTTCTCAGTTTGTCAATTTGATGTGTGATTATTGACACAGAGTTTCTGCTGCGGGAACCTCCAGTGTTTAAAAATGCAATTTCGAAGTGCAAAATCCTGCAATTCCTTGAGTGTCCACTAGAGGCTGGCTGCAGAAGCACAGGAAGTCACATACACACCCATTCTAAAAAGCCTGTTTTTACAGCAGAGATGAACATGTTTACAGCCTGGTTCAAAAAACCAAATAGGTGTGATTAGCTCATGTCTGGATGGACACACACTGTACGGGGGGTGAATGTTTTGATGACTCATCAGTTTTGATTTGATGAAGGATAAGAGTTATTCACAATAAGGCGTGTAGCTGACCTGATTGACAGGTGGGCGCGGTGTAACGGTTTGTCAGGAGGTTTAAAACCCGCCTCAGCTCCAGCTCTCAGCCTGTCGTTAGGTTGACTCAAAGTTAGACTGAGACAGCATTTCCAGCATGGAGACCACCATCGATGGGACTCCAGCGCCCCCTGCAGGAACAGATGGGTGACGACACTCAGGCTTCTTTAATATTTACAGTCTGTGATTCAAACGTAGCCTGGTTGGAATATAGTTTCTAATTTAGCTTTAGTGACTCAAATAATTTTTACAGATTGTTTTCTCGTCTCTCCGTCAGCTTTTTGTTTTTACCACACTTTTTTATTTTATGCTGACAGTATTAGAAGTTAACTAACCCTGTATTTTCACACAGTAAGTTTTACAATTACAGCACGGAGAGATTTTACATTATTTTTTGTCACAGATGAACAAAAAAAAGTGTCACTTTCTGCAGAGTAGATAAACTCCTCTTGAGCTCATTTACTGAATGTGTAGCTGGGGAAATATCGCTCACTACGCTGTAAAAATGTGATTATGTGTAATGTTGCTCTGCTGACTGTAATTTGCGCGAGGTTTACCGAATAACCTCCCTGGATGGAGCTAAAACAGAGTGAGGCGTGAGGAGATGGAGGCAGATCGTGATGGGAAAGTGGCAGTAGAGTGGGCGCGAGTGGAAACTCATCCTCCCACTCTGCCCGCGCCCGTCCAGCGTTAACAGCCAGCAGCGCTGAGCACCAAACATTATGACTATCAAGGGCCACTAAATGAAATCAACAATTAGCCATCCTGCCTCCATTTAACGGAGTGAATGAAAAGCTGCGCGCTCCAGAGAGTCACTGTTTGTGGTGATGCTGTTAGACAGAAGCCATCTGCTGCTCTTTAGCACACCGCTCACATGTCCTTTCTGAAAATTTGTTATGGCATTTAACACATTTTTTTTTTTTTAAATGCAGCACTAAAATACACATGCAGACATGTTTTCTAAAAATGTTCCTGCTTCTCTCCTGCACATTATTTCTAAAAGGATCAAGGATCCACGAGTGCAGGGATTAAATCATCAGAAGTGTAAAGCCGGTTAGTTACACCTTCCTCCATTTAGAGGTCCTTAGAAAAGGTTTTGACAGCCTCCTGAATAGTTTATTTCTGCTCTGCTGTTAGCTGATTTCTTTACATGGTCGGGACAATGAGTGACGCTGAGTGGAGCTGGCGGCTGGCTGTCTGCAGACACAGCGAGCTGTGAAGCAGGAGCAGCAGCGGGCGACCGGGCCTAATGGGACCTGATCAGGAGCTTAGGTCACTGCCATCTCGAATGCAGCCATGGCACGGCAGACATCAGCGCTAACTCACCTTGGATTAGAAGCTGGAGGCACAGCTGTAACACACTGTGACACCTCAAAGCAAAGCCTCAGCCTCAGCATTTCAATTAGCCTGCCTGGCCAACGTGAGTGTGAGCAGCACGGTGCACAACACACAGCCCTGAAGACTCCCACCAGGACCAGGATTTCAGCTGTGTGTGTTTTTTTTTAAGTCCACAGAGACGGCTTTTATCTATTGCATCATTTTTATGGACTGTCATTTTAAGAAAAGTCAACAAACAAAGCATTTAAAATGATGCAAAAGAACATTGTGATAATGAAAAACACTATTTAAACAGATGGTAGCAGAAAGAGCTCTAAAGCTGCACAGAAGAACAAACTGTGGAAGCTGAAATAACACCAGCAGCTCCATCAGTCCTGCACTTTTTTCCACATTAGACAAAACCAATGTGTTGTTTTGAAATAGAAAGAAGGGAAGCTGTACGTGTGAGACGATAAAACTCTGTTTACTTCAAGTCCCACTCCTCCACCTTTGTCCAGTGTTACATACAAATATCGACGTGTGTGTGTGTGTGTGTGTGTGTGTGTGTGTGTGTGTGTGTGTGTGTGTGTGTGTGTGTGTGTGTTGTGTGTGTTGTGTGTGTGTGTGTGTGTGTGTGTGTGTGTGTGTGTGTGTGTGTGTGTGTGTGTGTGTGTGTGTGTGTGTGTGTGTGTTGTGTGTGTGTGTGTGTGTGTGTGTGTGTGTGGGGTTGGGTGTGGTGTGGTGCGTGTGTGGTGTGTGTGGTGTGTGTGGTGTGTGTGTGTGTGTGTGCGCGTGTCTGTGCGTGTCTGTGCGTGTGTGGTGTGTGTGTGTGTCTGTGTGTGTGTGTGTGTGTGTGTGTGTGTGTGTGTGTGGTGTGTGTGTGGTGGTGTGTGCGCGTGTCTGTGCGTGTCTGTGCGTGTGTGGTGTGTGTGTGTGTCTGTGTATGTCTGTGTCTGTGTGTGTGTGTGTGTGTGTGTGTGTGTGTTTGGTGTGGTGTGTGTGGTGTGTGTGTGACAGCTGCTGGCAGTAATGGCTTTCTCTTTGCTGGGCGCTGACCTCTATTTAGATGCCCGGAGAGAGAGATAAGGTCCTGTGATGAGGACTCCCCTCCAGCTCAGCCAGGTCACTGCGTTCTGTCAGTCACACACACACACACACACACACACACACACACACATCTCACTCTGTGTGTGTGTGCATGCGGACGTGAGTGGGCTGCTAATCTTTCAATATACTGCTCGTCAACATGTGTGTATTTAATTAATAACGACTTTATTTACCATATATGGTCATTTCTCTCACCTTTGCTCTACTTCCTGTACATACATATATCGGGGTTACTTGTCATAAAATGCATTTTATTTTAAGATGTTCCAGTTTATGTTGATGACTCGTGTCAGTTTATATCTTAGGTCTCTTTTTTTTCTCTGCAGTCCAACATGATTTTTTTTCATTTTTTAAGTTATTTTTGGGCCATTTTCATCTTTATTGGATGGGACAGCTAAAGAGAGACAGGAAATGCTGGGAGGAGAGAGTGGGGGACGACATGAGGCAAAGAGCCGAGGCTGGATTCAAACCCACGGCTGCTGAAACTATTACTGCAGCCTCTGTACATGGGACATGTGACATTAACCACTAGCGCCCCATCCAACATGATTTTCAATCTGAGCTCATTTCCCACCTCAAACACTCAGTAATCAGCGCTGCTTTCTTTCCCTCACAGGCCCTGAAGCACTGTACTTACTATTTTACTATAACCTCTCTCTCTCTCTCTCTCTCTCTCTCTCTCTCTCTCTCTCTCTCTCTCTCTCTCTCTCTCTCTCTCTCTCTCTCTCTCTCTCTCTCTCTCACCGCCTCTTCCAGGTCAGCGCTCCAGGAACAAGCAGGTGAAGGAGATGTACCCAGAAGGCTTGGGATCCACCATGCCGGCATGCTGCGGTCGGACCGCAGTCTGATGGAGAGCATGTTCTCCAAAGGCCACCTCAAGGTGCTGGTCTGCACGGCCACGCTGGCCTGGGGAGTCAACCTGCCGGCTCACGCTGTCATCATCAAGGTTCAGATGTGTTTCACTTTCTTTGGTTTCCTGTCTGTCTTCTTTTCTTTGTCAATGATGGATAACTCCTCCTCTGCTGCTGACTTCAGACCGACTCCTCTGAAGATAAATTTGATGATTCATGGCCCAAAAGTTGCTCTTGACTTTCTACAGGCTCTCAGCACTAGTCCCATTAACTCAGGCCAAATATATCAATGTTCCCTCAGGTCATTAAAAACTCTTAAAGAGTAAGAGTTATATTATAAGCTTTTTTTTAAATTTCAGGTCATAAAATGTCTCTAAATGCTGCGAAGGGTCGAGGTCAGTTTTTGAACCCATGACTGCCTGAACGAGAGAGCTATAATCTCTGTACATGGGGCGTGCAACATAACCGCTAGGCTACCGGCGTCCCGGAGGTCTTAAATTTTAGATGGCACTTTGACTACGTCTAAATAATTAATAATCTAAAGCAGGGGTGGGCAACTAGCGGACCTCACATGTGGCCCCATCAACCCTCAAGGTGGCCCTCAGGTCAATTTTTACATATCAATTCATTGGAAACATGAAGAAAACATGACAAAATCTGCCAGGAAATCATGAAAATCTGAAATATGTTGAGTTTAATTTGAGACATAATCGTTTTTGTATAATACAATTTGGCCCTCTGGCAGTGAGAATTAAATAAACATGATTTTCTTATTGATCTTTTTTTGTGGGTATGCTTGTACAAGCTTGTACTTATTAACAGCATTTACAGCATAACTCAGGGACTGCGAATTACGTCAGCATTCACAAACTGTGAGCAGAAATGAAAAGTAGACGAGAAAGTTTAAGGAATTGGGACTTGAGATTAAAAACACAGAATCTTGGGAGGGATGAAAGGACAGTTATGAGTCGACGTGCAAGATATGCAAAACATTTTCAAACTAAGGGAATGAAAACCACCGAGTTTCACATCAAACATGAAAAAAAAGTTTACTGATTTTTCTTAGATTTAAAAAAGTGTGCAGGAAGCTCGACGTGTATCTTTAAAAACTGCCTACAGACATATATGGTTTAATATATTTTGAGAGGCTCCTTAAAACAGCTGCTCAGAGTGTTTAGGTCTGTGTGGAATTAAAATCACTTTAAAGTTATTTGGTGGTGAATCAATATCTTTTTACTCACAGGTATAAAATGTATAAAATCCTCTGAAGTCATTCCCGTCTTTCGTGTCTCTAACAGGGAACTCAAATCTACGATGCAAAGCGTGGCACTCTGGTGGATCTGGGGATCCTGGACGTCATGCAGATTTTCGGGCGTGCTGGTCGTCCTCAGTTCGATAAGTACGGCGAGGGAACCATCATCACCACCCACGACAAACTGAGCCACTACCTGACCCTGCTCACCCAGCAGAACCCCATCGAGAGCCAGTTCCTGGACAGTCTGGCCGACAACCTCAATGCCGAGGTAAGTCCCTTTTAACGGTTTCTGCAGTCTTTCAAAAATAGAAGAATGGAATATAAGTCTTGAGTCTTCACCTCTGGGTGTTTCCTTTGTCTCCATGTTTATATCTGTTGGAGCCGACCAGGTTGTAAATTATCATCCAGGTCTAAATCATGTTGAAGTGTTGAGAAGTCTGACAGTGTTGATAAATCTAAACTGCATGTTCCTGAGTTGTCCACTAGATGGGGCCAGAGACCAGTGCTGTCTCTTGACTCTGTGCTTCTCTCTCCTGTGCTCAGGTGGCTCTGGGGACGGTCACTAACGTGGAGGAGGGGGTGAAGTGGCTCAGTTATACTTACCTGTACGTCCGCATGAGGGCCAACCCGCTGGCATACGGCATCAACCACAAAGCCTATCAGGTGTGTGATTATGGTCTTCAGTTTGTGTCAAATAAAATCACAATTTATTCATTTTATATTTTCTTATAGCTGATAAAAAAGACAATAATTTAGTGAGAGTTTATGATTACATACATTATTATAACTAGTGCAGTCAGCCAATTAAAACAACTACTCTACTTGTAATGAATGAATCCTAATAAAGCACTTATGAGAAGGATTGCATCACTTTTATAAAATGTGTTAAACCTTTATTTATCGAGGTTTCACAACAGCAACGCACAGTGTCAACAACAAAAACACTCAAATCATCAGATAAAACAGCTGCAGTCTGAAAGTTTTGATTCAGGACTTCTCACTCAGGATTCATAAAATACATTTTCCGGTTTAAAATCAGCAGGTTGTTCGAAGTGAAATGTGCAGAAAGCCTAAACTCAGATCTAAAACATTGTGGAGATCGAGGATTCTGTCCTTCAGAATTAAAAGAGAGGAAAGGTTTGGTTTGTGAATGAAGATGTACCAATGTCTGAGGCGGTGTGACTTTAGAATTTAAAGTACTATGATGAAGAAGAAATCCACACTCTGTAATAGGACGGTCACTGACTAAGGATTTATATAGTGGAGCCTGATTGGTCAGATTTTGCCTATAGTCGACTGACAGTCAAAAGTTTTGTTTTTGTTTTTTCTCATTCATCCACATTCTCATTTGAGTTTAACTACATGATGAAACTATGTGTCTTCTAATCTTGTAATAACATTTTATTCTATGATAGGACATTGTTTTTTTCTGTCAATTTGAAGATATACAGAACTCTCCTGATCATAATAATCCAACAAAAATAAATCACCATGATTTCAATCCATTCAAAGATTGAATCCAAACACATCATATCCATAAGGATCCACAAAACTCTTCAAGAACTCCGCTATCCCGATGAACTTTATTTTTGGCACACTGTCCCGCCCATTGACTGTAAATAATAACAATAATAATACTGTTATACACAGTCTGTGGTCTGGCATATGAAGACTTTGAGTAGAGGTGTTCATGTACGGTACATCCCCATAATCAAGGACAGGTCAGAAGGTCAGATTAGGAGAAGCAGCACTTATTGTTGTAATCAAATCCCAATAACACCTTCAGCTTTTTAGCAACATGCTGAATCTGCCCCCTGAAAGACGTGAGAGTAGAAACACAAAGTATGTAAAAGACAGGATGACATCGCCTCAATTCCAAAACCATCTTTTGTAAGGATTTCCTCGGACAGTGCTCTTTTGTTTTGTCTGCATTCAGTACAAGGTGCATGTTGAAGATTTGAGAACGCTTGAGTTTATTTTGGACAATCTTTCAGACGGATCCGTCGTTGGAGCTGTACAGGAAGGAGCTGGTGGTGGAGGCCGGCAGGAAGCTGGATAAAGCCAGAATGATCCGCTTTGAGGAGAGAACTGGGTACTTTGCCTCCACCGACCTCGGCAGGACCGCCAGCCACTTCTACATCAGATACAACACCATCGAGGTACACTCACTACATCATCAGATACAACACCATCGAGGTACACTCACTACATCAGATACAACACCATCGAGGTACACTCACTACATCAGATACAACACCATCGAGGTACACTCACTACATCATCAGATACAACACCATCGAGGTACACTCACTACATCATCAGATACAACACCATCGAGGTACACTCACTACATCATCAGATACAACACCATCGAGGTACACTCACTACATCATCAGATACAACACCATCAAGGTACACTCACTACATCATCAGATACAACACCATCGAGGTACACTCACTACATCATCAGATACAACACCATCGAGGTACACTCACTACATCAGATACAACACCATCGAGGTACACTCACTACATCAGATACAACACCATCGAGGTACACTCACTACATCAGATACAACACCATCGAGGTACACTCACTACATCAGATACAACACCATCGAGGTACACTCACTACATCAGATACAACACCATCGAGGTACACTCACTACATCAGATACAACACCATCGAGGTACACTCACTACATCAGATACAACACCATCGAGGTACACTCACTACATCAGATACAACACCATCGAGGTACACTCACTACATCAGATACAACACCATCGAGGTACACTCACTACATCAGATACAACACCATCGAGGTACACTCACTACATCATCAGATACAACACCATCAAGGTACACTCACTACATCAGATACAACACCATCAAGGTACACTCACTACATCAGATACAACACCATCGAGGTACACTCACTACATCAGATACAACACCATCGAGGTACACTCACTACATCAGATACAACACCATCGAGGTACACTCACTACATCAGATACAACACCATCGAGGTACACTCACTACATCAGATACAACACCATCGAGGTACACTCACTACATCAGATACAACACCATCGAGGTACGCTCACTACATCAGATACAACACCATCGAGGTACACTCACTACATCAGATACAACACCATCGAGGTACACTCACTACATCAGATACAACACCATCGAGGTACACTCACTACATCATTAGATACAACACCATCGAGGTACACTCACTACATCATTAGATACAACACCATCGAGGTACACTCACTACATCAGATACAACACCATCGAGGTACACTCACTACATCAGATACAACACCATCGAGGTACACTCACTACATCAGATACAACACCATCGAGGTACACTCACTACATCAGATACAACACCATCGAGGTACACTCACTATCATCAGATACAACACCATCGAGGTACACTCACTACATCAGATACAACACCATCGAGGTACACTCACTACATCATCAGATACAACACCATCGAGGTACACTCACTACATCAGATACAACACCATCGAGGTACACTCACTCACATCAGATACAACACCATCGAGGTACACTCACTACATCAGATACAACACCATCGAGGTACACTCACTACATCATCAGATACAACACCATCGAGGTACACTCACTACATCAGATACAACACCATCGAGGTACACTCACTACATCATCAGATACAACACCATCGAGGTACACTCACTACATCATCAGATACAACACCATCGAGGTACACTCACTACATCAGATACAACACCATCGAGGTACACTCACTACATCAGATACAACACCATCGAGGTACACTCACTACATCATCAGATACAACACCATCGAGGTACACTCACTACATCAGATACAACACCATCGAGGTACACTGACTACATCATCAGTTATAAAGCACATTTCAACAACAAGGTAATTCAAAGTGCTTCACACAAGACATCAAAAGCATCATGACAGAGGAAAGAAAAGAAACATTAAAATAGTGAAAATTAAAAAAATCACTGAAATGATTAAATCTGAAAATATGTTCAATTAAAAAAAAATTCAAATGACATTAATTGAAAGTAAAAATATAAAAAGAGTTAAAAGTTACAGTGCAGAGTTTAAAATCTTATTAAAATTGTTTAATGAAAGGCAGCTGTAAACAGATGAGTCTTCAACCTCCATTTAAAAGAGAGTTTCAGCAGACCTGCAGTTTTCTTCATCAGATACAACACATGTTGATCACACACTTGGCGACAACCTCCTGATGTGTGAGATGTAAACAACATGGTGGTAAATGGTAACGTCTTCCTGCCCCTTTAAATGTAAGGCTTCTGCTTGTTACCTGTGTTATCATCTCAAGTATTACTTTTACTATCACTCCTTTAAACGTCTTCATAACCTGTCTGTTCAATGTTTTGTGATTTTAAGTTCCTGTTTGAATTGTTTGGGTGTTGCGGGATAATGGGAACAATATGGGGGTTGGGTTGTGTACATGTGAGTCTTTGTGTGTAAGCTGAATGTGTTTCTGTCACTTGTTTTGTTTTTCATGTTTTGGTTTGGACCAATTTTAAATTGAGGGGAGGTGCTATTCATCAATACATTTACTGAATGTGAGACTGACTATCAGATACCAAAGGTGGTGAAGTTACGGCTGGCTTTGTTTACCAAGTATAAGTTTACATGCTTATTAAGATATTCTCGACCTTAAGTCCGATACGTTAGTGGAGATGTAGGGACGATCCTGATCCAAACTCAGTTTTTGAGTTTTTACGTGTTATACAGCACAAAAAAAAGGAATAAAAGCACAGACTTACACATGAGAAACAAAAACATTACAGGAATGCATGCTGAAGAAACAAAACAAAAACAAAACAGGCAAGGTCAAAGAGTCACATTTTTGCATTATTACATCAAAACAGAAGGAGTCAGGTTTAGGAGTTAGTTCACTCCAGTCTGTACCTGTTTCTCTAGTGCATTCTTTCGTAAGGTCAATCTGCGCCCTCATATATCCAAAGATAGTTCCTCTTGTATATCCATGCAGTTCCAGTTTAGGGGGTCTGATCCAAACCCTTTTAACCAATCATGTGTCTTTTCCCTCCTCGTTTGAAGACTTTCAACGAAAGCTTTAACTCTCAGCGAACTGAAGGCGACATCCTCAGCATCGTGTCCAAGGCCGAGGAGTTTGAGCAGCTGAAGGTGAGAGATGATGTTTATAAACACCATGATTTATGTTTCAAGTCTTAATTTAAAAACCTGCAGTCATCCACTAAGAAAAATAATTACTTATAACGCTTTTCATGAAGGTTCTCCCCTCAGGTGGTTGTGAAAACATTCTTATACTGAAAGCTCGCTGATGCCTCACCGGTTTGTAAACACTCTGTGGATGTGTGTCTGCAGGTTCGCGATGAGGAGATGGAGGAGTTGGAGCAGCTGCTGTGTAACTACTGCGAGCTGCCGGCTGCAGGCGGCGTGGAGAACAGCTACGGGAAGATAAACGTTCTGCTTCAGACGTACATCAGCAGGGGAGAGGTGGACAGCTTCTCCCTCATCTCAGACCTGTCCTATGTGGCTCAGGTGAGGACAAGAAGGAGCAGGACACGCTCAGCGGCCAGTTGATGACATTTAAACTCACAAACAACATCAAACTAACTGACAGATCACAGCAGCTGTAGAGGGAAAAGTCTGTATTAAAGTCAAATCATTGTTTTTGTCAATGCAGCTTACTGATCCAGAAGAAAAAGATAAGACGATGTTTCTAGTTTAACGAGGCGTCCTCTCTTTACAACAAGCTCTCTCTCTCTGTAGGGATCCTTTCTGTGATGTTTTCAGAGACTTAGACATCCCAACTTGCAATTTCCAATTTTTTTAATCATTCAAGTCAGGTTGGTAATTTCCTCCAGAAACACAGATTTTGGTGTAAATTGTCTTTAGGTCCTGACAGACATTAATAACTCATGTTCTCTGAAAAAGGAACAAAGAGAATCCATCATCTGGATCAGTTTGTAAGTCTGTAAAGACTTCAACCAATGTCTGCCACAAGGTACCAATCTGATGAACCAATCAGACGCTTCCCTGTCTCCCTGCTCGCTCTCTACCTCTTGCGTACTCGTGCATGTAAGTCAGGGGGCGTGGCTTAAGAGGGAGCACAGAGGGGAGGGGCTGGGTGCAGACGGAGCACTGACGGAATGCTACTTTCAAAATCATGCTAGTTTTAAAAAATTACCAACCCTGCCTTTAAATCTCCATTTAAACCCAGAATGATATGTCAATGAGGTGTGTAGGTTCCCCTAAAACAGGATCTTCTTTCCATGAGTCATCCCCCCCCCAGACTTCAGACTGGACCCACACACTCCTCTCAGTCTCACCCGGCTTTCCAACAGAACACAGATTTCTTCAGTCCTGAGTGTGTTCAGAGACATTCAGATCACATTCACACCTGACCAAATCAATCGCAGGCTGACCAGACTTGAGCAGTCTATCAGCGAGCTACACGACCACCTGACCTCTCCTCCAGAACTAAAGCGGGTGATCCATCAGTGCACAGCTGGGGCCAACCTGGACGTCTGAACCCCGGACAGACCTCCTCCTGATCACGCATGATTAATCACCAGCATGCAGCGTGATGATCCATACAGCTGCTGCGGGGGGGGGGGGGGACTCCTGCTCTGGCACACATGTGTTTCACTTGTTTCATTCCTACTTTTAAAGTCTTGAGAAGGGGAAACTAATCCGTCCACAAATGCAGCAGTTAATCATCTACTTTTTCACTTCCCCACAGAACGCCGCTCGGATCGTCAGGGCTTTGTTTGAGATCGCCTTGAGGAAGAAATGGCCGGCCATGACGTACCGCCTGCTCACGCTCTGTAAGGTGATCGATAAGAGGCTGTGGGGCTTCTCCCACCCGCTCCGTCAGTTCTCCAACCTGAGCCACGTCGTGCTGAACCGCCTGGAGGAGAAGAAGCTCACTGTGGACAAACTCAAGGAAATGAAGAAGGATGAGATCGGTAAAAACAAAAACTGAATCACAACTCGAATGCTGCATTCACTGACGAGACATAACAGTACGGCCACCCAACTTTATGAATCCAATACAGCTCTACCATGAATTCTACTTTTATAACCTTTTCTATAGTGTCAGTTTTTGTTGTCAGAGCTTGTCAGTAACATTTCTTCAACCCCATGAAAATAATTCTGATGAGGATTCTAACTTCACTGTTGCCATGGACACTAAATTAAATGCTCAGATTATGACTTGCGTGCACATCAAACATTTAATCACTCTAAAACTGTTTTGACATGCGCATCTACCAGAAGTAGCACAAAAAGAAGAAGAAGCTGTTGCTGGTGTTTTAACTTGTGAGAAATAGATCTCTGTTCTTTTCTACTTGAAGTACATGTTTCAGTCCATAGGCATGCGTCTTTTTTTATTTTTTATTTTTTATTAGGTGCAATAGAATGACAAACTGGTGACATATACATAACAAATGAGGCATAAAAACACAAACAACTCCAAAACACATAAAAAAAACAAATAAAACAAATAAAGACAGCAAAATACTAAGACATCAATAGACACACATCAGACTAAAACCAGCAAATACATTACAACACTATACGAAATACTCAAGAAAGGATACAAGAAGTGAAAGAAGCGATAGAGAGAAAGAGAGAAAGGGAGGGAGAGAAGGTGCTTTGTATAGGGGGCTTGAGAGGTAGAAGAGAGTTGAGGAGTAGGCATGTGTCTAAAATTTGTCTCCATGGTGAGATCCAGTTTAGATCCAGTTTTCAAAATGGACGTACATCGTGTACTCACTGCAGTTGATGATTCTTCTGCTGATCGATGGAGGACATGCAGTTAAAAGAGAGGCAGACATGCAAAAATAGATCTACCCGAGGCCACATGTAGGCGGCTATTTTTGAAAACAGAGGTTTTCCTCCTCAGGTTAAAAAAAGAATCCCGTTCTTTAAAAAACATCTGACATGCAACAGCTTTCTCTGCATTCATCTGCTATTAGCGTTTCATTTTAAAGTTATTCCACAATCCCAAAGTCCGACCAGGTCACCTCCAAAACCGTCGATGTTGGCGGCAGGTTTTTTCCCCTCACTGCGTTGTATGAAGCAGCAGTGACCTCCGTCGTCCAATCAGGCGTCTCTGCTCGTCAACATAGTAGGACAGTAACTGTGTGTGTGTGTGTGTGAGAGCGTGTAAAAAGTCCAGTTAGCATCGTTAGCTAATGTTGAGTGTTAACTGAAGGTGTTTTGTTCCCAGGTCACATGCTGCATCATGTCAACATCGGACTATCAGTCAAACAGTGTGTCCACCAGATCCCCTCCATCACCATGGAGGCCAGCATCCAGCCAATCACACGCACCGTCCTGCGCGTACGCCTCATCATCACACCGGACTTTCGATGGAACGACCAGGTAAGCAGTGAGGAGGACGTTAGAGACGTGTGCCTCTCTTTAGATTTCATATCGTTCTTGTGATTTTCTCCGAGATAATCGCCTCATTTTTATTTGTGAAAATATATAGATTTATTATCTTCTGGAACACAAGATCACAAAGATGTTTTGACATGTTAGACAGCAGGTACACATTTGTATGTATTTGTTTTGATTGGTGCAACACATCAGTTGAAACGCCATCTGTCAGATCACCAGCGACAATTAAAATGATCCGCAGGTCGTTAGAAGATTTACCATCATTCAAGATTCAAGATTCAAAAAACTTTATTGTCTATCACATTGTGACAGAAACTGACATTTTGTTGAGGCTCAACATGAAAACATACAAACATTCACACTAACACTCACATCAGGTCATAAATAGCTAAAAGTACCCTGAATAGGTAAAAACACATGCACAGCATTTAAATCTTGACGTGTGTATTGCAGTGGGAATAAAAGAGTTTCTGTAAGTTTTCTTTTTCGCCAGTGGTACTTTAAAACGTCTGCCTGAGGGGAGCAGCTGAAACGAGCGGTGGAGGGGGGGTGAGGGCTCCTGAGTGATGCAGACTGCTTTCCTTTCTGCTGCTGGCATGTCTGACTTTTGATTTTTGTTGTATGTTTAATGATACCAGTAAGTTTTCTTAAATATATATACTGCCCTAAATACCCGTGCAGAGTGTCA